CAAGATATGAACAGGCTCTAATAAACACAAAAGGAAACCGATCGACTGTCGGTTAAGAAATCAAGCATGGGCAGTTCGCTCTCGAGCCTCCCGTTCGATTTTTTCACGCTCTTCGTTCTCCTTCATCTCGCGGACCTTGGCCAGAACGACTTCGCGGAAGATCGCGCCGCGGGCGATCTTGCTCAGACTCCGCTTCTTGGTCCCACCAGTTGTACCATCAACAGGCGCAGGGGATGAGCTCCCATGTGCTTCCGTCCCCTCGAGAGGAGGAAACGCTGTTGTGTCACAAGATTTGCTGGGTTCTGCTGCAGACGCAGACGCGGCCATCTCGGAAGGGCTGGGGATATCGTCCTCTTCGTCTTCTTGCAACTTGAGCGCTTCAATGCGGTTCGCCAGCTTGATGATCTCGATTCCTCTCCGGAGACGGGAGCGGGCGATGTAGGCACGGATCTCAGGCAGCAAGTCGCGGTCGCTGGCAGACTCACCAGTCAGCCACGGGTGTTTCAAGGCATCCTGCGACGTGGGCCGCTTGGCGGGGTCAGGCTGAAGCAGGCTGAGAATGAAGTCCTTGGCATCCTTGGAGACATCGCGCCAGTAGCGTTCGTGGAAGACGATCCGGGCAGCGCGGCATTCTTCGATCAGATCAGATAGACTTTCCGACCGGAAGGGCGAGTATCCGCACAGCAGGGTGTAGGTGATAACACCGAGGGACCACAAGTCGACGGCCTTGCCGTGGCCTTGCTTGAGCATGACCTCGGGCGCCGCGTAACCAAACGAGCCCGCCATAGTCGTGAGGACTTCGGTAGGGTTCTCCAGCATTTTCGCGATACCAAAATCAGCCAACACCAGGGGGGATTTGGGGTCGCGGGTGAGGTATAGGAGGTTCTCGGGTTTCAGATCTATACACGAGCCAGCATTAGTGCGCTGTTCACCAACGAGGCAAAGTTGACTGAAAGACTGACCTCGGTGGACAATATTGCGCTCGTGAAGGTAGTTCACAGCACCCAGCACCTGCCGGATTGTCTGAGAAGCATCCTTCTCTGTGAATTTGCCGTACTCGCAAATCCGGTCAAACAGCTCACCACCAGTGGCCAGCTGAGTGACAATGTAAAATTTGTCCTAATTCGCCGTCAGACTGCGATCGGCGAACAGGTAAGCTAAGCTCGGGCACAAACCTTGGATTCGAACCAATCTACAAAGTGAACAATGTTGGGGTGATCGAGCGCCTGCAGCATCTCCAGCTCATCGTAGACCATGCGCTCATTGCCGCGGACATTTTTCTTCAGGATAATTTTGATTGCAACCTTTCCCCCGCTGCTCTCTGCTTCACGGACGATACCATAAGTGCCTGCACCTAGCGTCCTTCCAAACCTATACAGCGCTCTAGAAGAGGTGAGCACAATGTCTTCAGTGGGACTGGGATGATAGAAAAGGAGGCGAGAGGGCTTGGAACACCGTACTTTTTTTCGTAACTCTCGGGCTGCCCGGACAGCTTGTTAAACATAGTCGAGACTAGTTCAACCATGCCATGGTTAGCATCTTTCCGTACAAGGGACAGCAGCTCCATAAAACAAAGCGTAGGACAAAAGAGCAAAAGGAAACGCAATGAGGAACCCAAATCCCACGGGAATGCTCGAACCAAAGAACAATAAGAGAACGAGTAGTCCGAAAAGACTTGCGTTACTACTCGAGAGGGCTAACGGTAATGCTAGCAGGGACATGATCGCACGAAACAAGTCCAGACCAGCAGGCTCCAGTATTTGAGCGCACGTGAAAAGGATCAAGGGTAGGACATATGGTGGAGAGAAGCCAGCCACATCACACAGGGCATTGACGAAGGGAATACAAAGACAAGCGAGACTCACAACTCATTGTGACGAAGCAGGCTCTGTCTGACAGGGACCCAAGCTCGAAAGCAGAACGTGTGGTGGAGAGCTGAGGCCAGCGGACAGAACGAAGCTGATGGGAGACCCCGCACGTGAGGGGGGACAAGGAGGGCGGGGCGAAGGAAATGGTTTAGAGAGGATTTGGGAATGTCGAGGACGGTGTCTGTTTCTGTTTCCTCTCTTATGATTATTCTATAGAGGGATCGAATCGCATGTCAGTACATGATCTCAACCAGCCAGGACGGAGCGGCGACTCGACATTGGACGGAGTAGGTAGCTGAAAGTCAATAGGGGATGGGAAAATAAACATACTGACCCTCTGAAAGATCACTTCGATCGGTGGAACTGATGCAGATGCACAGGAGGAAAGATGCGGGAGTGTACAATGTCTCTTCGCGAGAAAGATGAATTGAAGAAATAGTGCTGTCTGGACCTTGGACTATCCATAGTTTATTTAATTCTACCACACTGTCCAGACTCCAGACCGTCTCTCTGAATCGCTCCGAGTCTCACCAGCACAGCCACGGAGTCTTTACCTCACAGCTGGTCGAGCCTTGGGCAGCGGCGGGGCTGATCCAAATATACCAAAGTGTATGACGGAGTACTTTAGTATATGGAGTACCTCTCTGGACTGTCGAGTATGGAATCTCAGTGGCTGAGGCTTCCTTTTTCCCCTATTATTTTACTGAAGTTCCGGACTACTTTCGTAAAATTCGTAATCGGCTATTCCAGGGGCTACGATGCTTGACCTCAGCCTTGTCAGTCCCTTCACTGAGTTCAAACTTCACTCTGTTACAATGCATCGTCCTCTTACCCCATCCAAGTAGCAGTTCAGATCTAGTGGTGTCGACCGTCCGTGTATGATCTCGATGAATCACATCTTAATCATTTCTGCATTACAGAGAACACTAGGACCCTCAGCCCTTCATCAGCATGAAACACGCCAGCGACCTTGTGTGACTTTTTTTTTTGTACCAGAATTTCAGCCTTCTTGAAGCCGGATCCACTTTCAAGGCACCACCCAAAAATAGTGGGACGGGGTTGCAATCTGAGACGATCGCTTGATAGACGGTCGATGGAGTCAATTCTTCATCTGTGATCACTCATGTGACTTCACTTTTTTTTTGGTCTTCGTCGCTAGATAGCTCACAATTCATCCTAGACACTCATCATCAAGGATCATGAGCAGATATGCGCTTCAGAACCCCGCTAGATGCAATCAATGGTATACTCCGTACTCTGCCACAAGAAACCCCTAATGTCAAGACAGCTGTCGGACCCTTAGCTACACCTCAAGATACAATTCGTCCAAAACAGAATTGCAGTATGCCTGGTAGTACGCCGCTCCCTTCCAGCCCCGAACCGGAGACCTCAACCCGACCGTCTTCCATTCCTCGGCACGCAGTCGAGCAATCCGCTGCTCCTTGGTTTCCTTGACAATGACTCTCCCCGAACTACCCAGTTTCTCTTGACCATCAGGACCCTCCTTGATGGGACTGAAGCTCCAGAATGAAGCAGACCGGCGGAAACTCTTCGACGCTTGACGGGCCGACTGCAATTCCCTGATCTCGTCCATGAGTGCGTGAATGTCAGCGATGCTGGAGTTGATCTGAACGCGCAAGGACTCGAGGGTGCTGTTATATCGCCTAATGGATTCGACGCGTGACGGTGTCACGGGGGCTTGTTTGTGCTCATCCGAGTGGACGTTTCCTCTACCCTGCGCGCGGGGAGTTCTGTTAGGACCTGAAGGTTCGTGGTTCTTTTCCATGGTGTCCGCAGGCAGGATCTTGAGAGGAAGAGGAGGGGGAAGACACAGTCTCGCAAGTTGATTCTGTCGACCGGCCTGACGGAGATCGACCGACGACTTTCGAAATCGAAGGGGCGAGGGCATAAGTCGCTGATCATCCTGTGGAATGCGGGGTTGAAGGTCCTCTGGAACGTCGAGAACCAGGTCAACCCAGCCCTCGCCATCTGAGATGAAAGGATCATCGTCTGGGCAGAGCATGGACTTGTCGATGATGTCCGTGATGCTGCTGACGAGGGCCCCGACAGGCGAAGGACTCTCCGAGAAATCTGACGCAGTCCATGACTCCACCAGCGAGGCAGGACTCGAGCTCTCCGAGTTGATTTCATGGACTGAAATTGTCGAGGGCAGAATTGCACTGCAGGTGACAAAGCTGTCCAGAGCGGAATTCAACAGAGGAAGCTTTTTCCGGGAGTAGTTATGGGCTGCTCGGCCCATCTCCTCGTAGGAAATGGCGCTGTAGAAATAAAGGTATGTCTTGTAGACCGGATGGATCTGCCGACCAAGAGCACGTTAATGCGTACCTGTTTTGATAGCAGCAGACTCTACTCACCGGTTCTTTCACAGCCTCAAGGATCTCAAACGAACGGGCGGCGCATTGCTTGTACTGACGCTGAAAATACAGCAGCTTGACATCTTGAATAGTTTGCTTCCATTGCTCTGGCGACTGAGGCGATGGAGAAGACTCAAATTGAATGAGCTTTTTCGCGATTGAGAGAGCCATTTTCAACGAGTGCTAGAACGAAAGACCTGGACAATGACTGACCGAACACAAGACATGCATTTCTCTGGGTAATGGGGACAAACCCAACCGCTGGATAGGTAAAAGATGGATGACCGGAAGAAGAGAACGAGCGTGTGTATACTCGAGACGAGACGCGTCAAGGCATCGTCAACAATGACTAGATGCGCTGAAGATGAGTGCGGTTCTGAGCGCTGCATTCACAGGTAGCACTTCAGCCTGGTTGTAATATACCAGCAAGATGTGAAATAATAATGCTAAAAGTTACTCCAAACTCACCTGGTAAATACTTCATTATTAAACGTCAAGCTAACTGACATATAATAAACCTATGATGTTGAGATTTATCCCTCAATAAGTACGTTTAGTACCTCCCTATATAAACTGATTATGACTATTGAGTAACCATAGCATGAACATGACTCGCCGCAGGCAGCCATCATCCATCTCACCTACCCATCCAAGCCTTAATGAAATCAGAACCTAACGTACCAAGAGTAGTAGTCTCTAAATGACCTCAAAACTAATCCTTGGACTCGCAAAGAACCTACCCATCGCAAAATCCACTATGAGACTGAACCGCGCCAACCCACAGCCCTTCTACCACTACTTCAACAACACCTGGACGCCAATCCGGACTTCAACAGACATCACCAAACCCCCCAACCCATCTAATCTCCATCTAACCCACAGCAAAAACATAAACAGAATCCGGCTAACAACCTGGAACATCGACTTCCAGACTCCCCTGGGCCGCGAACGCATGGCCGCAGCACTGGAGTACCTGTCCCACCAGCACAGCACCCAGCCCGACGACGAGACCCCATCAATCATCTTCCTCCAGGAGATGGTCGAGTCAGATCTCCAGCTAATCCAGGAATCGGGCTGGATACAGGAGAAGTTCTTCATCACCGATACCAGCAGCGATCATTGGCGCGGGCACTATGGGACGACGACGATGATCGATAAACAGTTGGTTGTGCGGGGCGTATTCCGGGTACCGTATTCGAATTCAAGGATGGAGAGGGATGGGTTATTCGTTGATGTTGATGTTGGGCCCTTCGGGGCCGAAAGTGGTACGTTGCGTATCCCCTTTTATTTAGAAGTCTCTGAAGCTAAGGATACAGTATGCATCTTACGGCTGTGCAATACGCACCTCGAGAGTCTTGTTTCTCACCCGCCCAGACGGCCGGTGCAGCTACGTCTCGCCTCGAGCTTCATGCATGGGTCTGGTCCTGGGCCTGGGCCTGAGGATGAGGGCCTGTATACGCCGCCGACGCCCCATGCGGCTATTCTAGCAGGCGACCTTAACGCCTTTGCGCCGGAGGATCGCTCCGCGCCCGACGAGTGTGGTCTCAGAGATGCGTTTTTGGCCCTGGGCGGGAGAGAGGGGACGGAGGAGAGTTTCACGTGGGGTCAGCAGGTGCCGGATTGGATGAGGGAGCGGTTTGGGTGTAGTCGTATGGATAAGATTCTGTATTGTGGTGGTGTTGAGGCCAAGAGTCTGAGAAGGATTGGAGATGGGGTCACGGTGAAGGTTACTTCTAATCAGTCTGAGAGTGAGGACGAAGATTTCTCTGATGATGAGGTCTGGGTCACGGATCACTTGGGTCTACAGGGGGAGTTCGAAATCCTGTCATCGAGCTGTTGATTTACACTTGCAGTTTAGAAACGCTATATTGACAATTGTCGTTATTTGGGGTTATGTACAGTATCCATCATGAGCTTCATTGATCAATACGAATATGACTGGCATATGTTCAATGGGCAACCAGTCTGTACTTCCAAGTATCCACCAAGTGCCTATCGCAAGAACTTATGGTCGAACCAAAAGAAAACAAAACTTCATTCGGCCTGTTCAGATATTGACGATCGACGCCTTGCTGTCTCTGGAACGACGGCGACTCGGGACAACGCATCTCCAGTCGCAGAGAGGGCATCCAGAAAATCGCCCAGAAGTCTGTCCAGTTCGGCAGTCACAGCGCTTTCTTCCGCCCCGGCCGTCAGAGCCTCAAGTCGCGGCGGTACGAGATCGGGAAAGTAGACCGGCTCCAAATCATCCCTCGTAGCCGGGCGCGGATCTCGCCGGGCTGTAGGCAAAGGCTCAATCATAGGCGACTCAGTCAGCGTTGGAAAAGGTTGATGGGGTTCCGTCTCTTTGGATGGAATGGCTGTGGGGAATGGTTCTGTATGTGAGGGTTGAACACCGATTTCTGTGCTGCTCTCCCAAATCACCGACTGCGAGTCTTCCTCATCTGGCCCCGGCCCGTCTAACACTGACGACCGTTCAAAGTCGCCGTAGCCCACCGATTCTAGCGTTTCCGGTAGCTCCTTGTTGAAAAAATGCCCATGTGCTTCAGCAAGCTCACCAGGAGGCGTTGGAGGACGGTCAAACTTGAAGGGATTATAGTCTGTATCTGAGTGAGCTGAGATATCGGAGCCAGTCGATGCCGAGGTGGAGGGTCGCGAGTCCCCAGGCTCTCCAATGGTAGACTGTCGAATGGTAGCTGATGGCTGAAGCTCGGGAAGCGGCGCTCGAAGGGTATCGTGGCGGCCGGGATATTCGCTATCCAGAGGCTTAGCGGCAGTCATGTCCGGGAAGGTCCAGTCCATAGTTGCTCGTTTGTCTTTATGTTGGGCCTCCTCCGGGAAGGTCCAGTCCATAGTGGCCCGTTTATCCTCCTGTTGCGACTCTGACGCCTTCGGTGGCTGTGCCGTCTCCGGTTCGACCTGCTCTGCTTCCGAAGGCTGCATAAATACCGGAAATTTCCAGTCCATCGTCGGAGGGCGTGGGCCAGTTTGGGGCTGATAAGTTAATTGCTCGGATTCGTCATGATCATCCGCATCACGACTCGATGAACGTGACCTGCCTTCAAGGGAATTGTGTTGCTGGCGACCGGTGGATCTATTGGCCCTGATCGTATCCGCGTCTGCAAGTTGGAACGGCTGTGTTGATGCAGCTCCAGCTGCATAATGGGACGAGTCGAATGAGCCGATGTCAATGTCAATGAACGTAGACGTCACGGAAGACCGGTCTGTCTCCGTGCGAAGAGGCAAATCAGACGCTGGAGGCTTGGGCTCAATGGGCACAAAATCGTTCTTCGTTTCGTACTTGTAACTCGGCATGTCTTCGTTGAATAGCCCCTCCATTGCCGCTGCGCCTCGGCGGACGCGCTCGTCGAAGTTGGCCTTGTCTTCCACGGACATTTCGGATCCGGCTGGTTCATCGAAGGGATCGCGATCCTGCTGATTTGTTGTCGTCGGACTCATCTCCTCTTCTAGCTCGGCCAACGAGGCAGCTATCCGATCCAGATCAATGACGGAAAATCTCCGTTCAAAGCCATCTGTAGTACTGAAGTTCCAGTCTTCTTCAAAGTCTGGCTCATAGTCGGGGAATTCCGCGGCGGCAGCACCTCCCGGATGGAATAACGAAATTCGCTGCCCTCCCCGCTGGGACCATTGATAATAGATGCGCACCAACTCGCTGAGGGAAGAAGTTGGGTACAGCTCGTCTGTTCCAGCAATATACGAATGTGACATGATGTCTGCCATTGTAGGGCGCGATATGGGATCCGACTCGAGAGCGAATGACACTAGGTCTTTAAGACCGTCACTGTATTCTTCATTTGCGAGACGCGGTGTGGTACGGTTGAGTTGCCTTCCAATTTGCATCCGTTCCCGTAAATTGGAGTTCGGAGGGTTTCCCGTTGCGAATTCGAAGAGAGTGCAACCATATGCCCACACATCGACCTTGACTTGTCAGTATTTTCAAGGGATGGGGCAGAAATTGACAGCCTCACCTCACTTCCATATTTGTGAGCTTCGCCTCGAGTTGAGAACATTTCCGGGGGCATCCAGTGAGGCGTCCCAATCCAGGTTGATCGCTTGTCCACGTGCGACTGGAGTACACCTGCAACACCGAAATCGCAGATCTGAAGCCGTCCTTCCTCGTGGATCAATATGTTCGCAGCTACAGGAGCGTCAGCAGTGCGTTAAATCAGACAGACGAGGCCTACATACCTTTGATGTCCCGATGGATGATACCAGCCTCGTGAATTGCACGCAAGCCAGCAGCCAACTCTCGTGCGATGGGGATAATGAACCTTTCATCAAGCTTATCACCCGTGGCTCTCATCTAAACATTGCAAAGTCAGAAAATGGCAGCCGGACGAAAGCAGTAAGGACGCAGGGCCTACCAAAGTCCTAACGCTACCACCAGGGCAGTACTCGCAGACCAGCCACAACTGGCTATGGATCGAGATGGCCTCAATCAACTCGTTGATGTTTTTCGCACCAGCATCCTTGACCTGTTTCATAACTTTCGTCTCATGTATGAAATCCTTAATGGACTCGTCCTTGAGGTCTCTCACAGACTTGTAGTCCATCGAATCAATATCCATTACTTTGATCGCGACGACTTTGCGCGAAGGTAGCTGATGGCCCTTGTAGACCCGGCCGTAAGAGCCCTTCCCAATCAACTCTTCAAACTCATACGGCGGCGGCTCTGTTTTTGCTCTGCGGCACATCTCGCGCACGGCGGCGCCTTGTTCACGTGCTAGCTTGATGGCTTCTGCTTTGTGCTTGCTGATGGCAGCCGCCATCGCGGATGTCGGGTCCAGCAACCCTGAGGCGCGAGAGTTGTCCATATTGAAGTACACAATAAGGCTCAAAGTTGCAATAGCAATCGAAAGGTTTTATTTGACCAGACAGAGCCGACTCAAGACGTCCTCGAGGCGTCGGCCGATGAGCTAGCCTGTGAGAAACTCAACGCTTCTGGCAAACGCATAAATCGCGAATATTGATGCTCAAACGCAGACAGTTCTAAGATCTCCCATTCCACACGGGACACGCGAGACAGTAGCTGTTATCAAGTGCAGAGTGTTGTGTTGTTCACCTCCCCGGCGCCTGTTTCGCCATCAAGGAAAGTCGTTCAAGGACACCCCAGCCTCAAATCAACACATCCATGGAGTCTGACGTAGCGACAAACAGGATCTAGTAATATATACCCAAATTTATCCCGGTTCTTTCTTTCCCAAAACCTCGTAGAAGCGTTGGAGAGAGCTATACAAGAAGTTTGATGGTGGTCGTCCTTTCTCGTGAGTGAGAATGTGGCTTGTGAGAGTGAAACCACGCTAAACAGCGGACACTAATTTAGTCCCAAACCGGAGACCCCAATTTGTGCTTCTAGGGTGGGCTACGCTTTTAGCCTTGAACAACACTCATTGTACTGGGGATATACTACTTTGACCATCCAGCCAGAAATCTACGTAGGGATAAGATTCAATCATGCTGCTCTTAGTCTCTAGATCACTAACAGGAACACTTCAGTGATTCTATATTATTAAAGTTGGCTAGCGATCAGCTCCTTAGCATGAGTCATGACTTCTGTTCAGTTTACGCCAGCCTATTCAGCTGATATATAGGAATCGAGACCATTGCATTCAGAAGGTCTGGTTTTCAAAGTTAATGCGTAGATTAGGGTAAATATATCAGGCAGCACATTCTATTCCCGTAGTTTACGTAGGATTATCACAGTCCAATCTATCTACAAAGAGAACTCCGTTCTAAGGGCAGTTGCAAACCGAGCAATAGCCTCTGCAATGTTGTCCGAGCTGGCAGCCGCAAAGGTAGCGCGGAAGAACAGGCTGCCCTCGTTGCGACCAGCTGCGGTGAACCAGCTGCCTCGCGAGACGAGCACGCCGTTATTCACCGCAGCATGGAAGACAGCCTCCTCGATAGCCTCGCGGGTCTTACCGGAAGCCACGCCAGGATGCTTCTGCCAATCGATCTCAATCCAATGCTAAGAAGGTATGAGTGTCAGCCAATTTGCCTTCGGGCCATGATCGTCAAATCGCAGTTGGAGGAATACTCACAAACATTCCTGCGGCGGGAGGGTTCCACTTAGCAATCTCCCTAGGAAGATATTTCTCGCAAGCATTGACAATGGCATCTCTGCGACCGGTATACTGCATACGCAGGTTGATCAACCAGTCCAAGTAGCCGGAGTGGCCCCAATGTTCGTCCAGAAGCTTGAACAGAACAATCTGTGAGATGCCGCTTGGATGCTGGGCACCTGTCTCGCAATTGCGCATGAATCGCTCGACAAGCTGCTCCGGGCCAACAACCCAACCGGTCCGCGAACCGGGTGAAAGAACCTTGGAGAAGGATTCAAGTCGGAGCACACGCCCATCGACATCTAGGCTCAGGTACGAAGGAATGAGAGACTTGATGAATTCATCGTGGCTGGCAGGAGGAGGAACAGGCTCGCGGTCGGGTCCGGTGTATGGCTGCATCTGCAAGAAGTAGTAAGGCTCATCTTCCACGATAATCAAGTCGTGCTTCTGTGCCACTTTGTATACAGCCTTGCGTCTGTCCAGCTGCTGCGTGGCACCGGTAGGGTTCTGTCCAGTTGGAATAGTGTACAGCACAAATGGCTTGCGGCTGCCCCGAGAAGCTTCATCCCAGTTGCTCAAGACCTCGTCGAGCGACTCGGGCAGGAGACCTTCCGCATCCATCTTGACCGATGCCACCTTGACTCCCAAAGGAAGAGCGCCCTCCTTGGCGCTAGAGAATGTATACTCCTCCATCAGGATGTAGTCGCCTCTGGTGCAGAGCATTCGGAGTACTGTATCCCACCCATATGTGCTACCA